AAATGAGGAGAAGGGAAGAAATTGAGTTGCTTGCAAAATCGCGAACGATATTCACAGATTTTGAAAAGGTTACCGAAAAGTACTACAATCAATTACGCTCAGTGTCTGAAAAACTTGAGGATACTTCAGAGGTAAGTTATGAAAATGTTGCACTCGTTGGCACTCAAAACCGATGCGTATGTCTCTCAGGTGAAAAAGGTGCAAGAGGTGCTGTGTACAGTACTAAGCTGTGACGAAGATTTGATCGAAAAAGTTGATAAAAGCATTGAGGCACTTAAAGAAAGACCCGATCTGCAAGGCGCATTCATGGATCAAAATAAGGAAGAAAAACTGAATATAAAGACTGTAAAGTTATTTGTAGCTGAACTGGATTGTGTCTGCACAAGGATAAAGGAGTGTATGATAATGGAACACTCTACTTTGCTAAAGTCCATGCCTAAAGATGGAAGCAAAGAAGAGATAAGCGTTGAGGGAGGGGCGATGATGCTTGAAGTGAGCGGTACTGAAGGAGAAAATACGTACCTATCGTTATCAAATCCTATGAATGATTAATTTATTAAAAGTTGGATTATGCGATTGATTTTTGGTATTGAAATTATTCGTCGCTCCGACTGGCAGATAAAGCGCTTGATTAGTTCTAGCGCGTGATTAACGTTTGTAGGAGAATGAAGGACAGATCCTAAATATTGATGTTTTGAAAAACGAAAAGTTAGTGCCACATAACAGACGTGCTGTTGAAATGCTGAACTAAGAAGACGAAGGAGCTGCAAGTGCTACGGATGGGTAAGCTAAACAAAACAATATGCGCGTTTTGGGCTATGATTGACAATGAAAAAAATTGTTACACCTCTAAATTGAGAAAGGGCTTTTTTAGTGTTTTGGGAGGAGAATTTATTGCAAACCGTGACCTGCAGGCTTTGGTATTGCTGCGGTTGAAGCACACCACTCCGTTGTTATTCGAGAGCATTTAATTTATCATGCAGAATTCTGACGAAAGCAAAGAATATACGATTTTGTGGATTAGTATAATTAGGAAAATTATACGAGTTTGGAAGCTAGTACAATTCCATGGTTTTAACGAACCAGAAAAAAGTGCTGCTGCACAAAGAGATAAATAAACATACTTTCAGTAAAAAAAGTTATAATCGTTTCTAACGGACATAAAAAGTATGCTCATTGTTGTTTCGCGGTATTGTCCGTGGAATAGAAGATAACGCAGCTGAACAAACTTATTTTGATGAAGAAGACAGGTGTAAAGGTGCAATGATGGTAGCAAATAAACATGGTTTGAAATGACCAAAATTTTATTCGTTTACCATTTCTAAAGTTCTACTCTAAACTAGATATTTAATTTACAATCGATGTCTTCATTTACTACTAACTGCGCTATTTTTGTTTGCAGAACAAAATTAGCTAACTGTTCAATAAAATTCATTCTTTCTAAATATCATCACTATGCTCCTTTTGCAATCAAAAAATTAATTTCCAGATGCCTATCTTTTTATTTAAACGCTATCCTAGAGAATAAACGTACATGTCTCAAACAAAAAATGGTATGGCAACAAATTATAGCTTTTACGTTATTACAAGAACGCTAAATATGAGATTCCTCCCTTTAAAGGGGTATTAATTAATTCTGCACGAATATACCAACCAACTTTCAAGCTGTCCTTTTTCCTATTGACGCTCCTTTTTTAATCAAAAATTACCTAAAAAGAAATCTTTCCGAAATTAAAACTATAAATAGAGATAAAAACCAACAATAAATGCATTTTCTTGGGTATTTGTTATTAACATTGAATCTGTGTTATGTAGCTCGTGGAGAGTCCAGACCAGCAAGCGTGGCGAAAGGACAAACGAATTTGAAAGAGAGGTTTAAACCCTATGAACAGTATGCTAAGAACACTACTATAGTTGCAGATAACATGCTGGACATTTGTTATAAAGAAGTGCCAACACGAAACGATGCTAGGAGGGCTACGATGGCGTATTTCGATATCAAAACATATTTAAAAGGAGTCAAAAACACGTTAACAAAACTGGGTCATATTTTGAAAGACATGGTAGAGTCACAACACGCCAAAAAAACCTCAAATGAAGCTTTTGAGAAAGCCGGAACCGGCGAATTTCAGATTATTTCAAAGGAATCAGTTATTTCCATTTTAAAATCTACCGCTGATATTTTGAATGCCCTACTTAAGAATGATGGTGCTCTTTATTTTCATCAGTTGTATTCGTACACAAATAGCTGTCATGAGATCTTCAAGGAGGTAACTCTTGACAAATTCTTCAAAAGCGTATCGTTTGACGTAAATGAAGACAAGGAACTTACTGATAAAGTTCAGGATTTGATCTCGACCTTACACAAGGACCCACCTACACTTGACACATCAATAGGTGAGAAATGTGTACTACGTTTCGCTGAGGGCTTGTGGACCGGATATAGAAGAACAGTAGAAGTGATAGCTCGTGCAATTCAACGGGGTTCACAGCAAAGTGATGGTGGTGAAGCTAAAGAGCAAGCTAATCCAGAAGTCGATCAGATTCAGCCGACCCAAGTTGAAGATTTTTTCAAATTCATAGAATTCATAATTGATCTCAAAGCACCCAATGAGCCGCCAGCATTAGAAAAGAAGGAAAATGAAATATTGCCTGAGAAGCGTCCGTAATTGAGACAATTATGGGTTACATATGGGCATGTTATGCATCAAAGGCTAACCATTAAACATTTTCTAGGCATTTGTTCGGATTGTAGTGAAATATTAATTATTTCTTGTATTGATAGCGTTTTTCCCCTTTAATCAATCAGTATAAATGTTGCATTACAAAAATGTTTTCTTTACCGTTAGTTTAAAGGATGGAGATCCCTGCATCTTTTCCGACAGTTCACAGCTGTAATCAGTATTTGCAGGTATTTTTGTAAGAACTCAAATTTCTAGCCGATCAAATGATGTAAATGAATGTGCCAAGTAACTATGTTGGCTCGCCAGGAAGATGTCGATCGAGTACGGGATAAGACGAGCAAGATATGTACGAAAGATCGTTCTGTATTCGATGAATAGATCATTGAAAAATGATGTGCGTACTTTAACGCACCATGCTGACTACTTCGCGGACCGAGTGCGATGCGCACACAAAATTGCTGAAAATGCAAGAGAATCGGTAAACGCAAGCGCGAGGCGGAATTCCTCAGGAAAGAGTGTGGACGGTTCTAAGACTAGAGCCAGGCCAATTAGGAGTGGATTCAATCACCATTTCCGGCAGTAAGAATGTACTGGTACTCTCTTGGTGTACGACAAGCGCTGTGGTAAGCTCATGTTCGGTACAAGATGTAAAATGCGCACCGATTTTCTACATAAACTAAAGGCTGGTTGTAACCGTCAGGAGGGTGTGTTTATTTAGGTGAAATTCTTATATGAGGTAATTAATAAATGAAATTTGATAAAAAACAATAACAGGATACATACCTGAGGGTTAAACAGCATATGGCCATAATGATATGTTCGATGCAAAAATATTGTGGAGAATAGAACTGTTATTTGGAGTTGTCTATAACATGGTAAATTGCATACTCT